TGTGCAGTAGTAGCAGCAAGCAGGTGAATTCTGTACATTAATATGAATAGACATCTGACTATTTTACAGGATAGACAATATAAACATATTTAAATTTAAAGGAATTTGGAGTGTACATTGTGCCTTGGTTTAGAGTGTCTGGAAGAGAGTCCTGTCTCAGTCAATTATAGATGATGTGAGAGGGCGGGTGTGTGTGTTTAGGGCACGGATGGCTTGGGGATAGAAGCTCCTCTTGAGTCTCTCTGTCCTTGCCCGGATGATGCTGAACCTTCTACCAGATTGCAGAAGTTGGAACAGTTTGTTGCCAGGATGGGACGGGTCCTTCAGTATCTGCTGTTAAGTCTAATTGTTGAATGTTGCCATTGTGTTTCTTAAATTTGTACAGTCTTAGTTTAAGCAGTAGGATCAAAGCCATCCCTTTGATCCTGACCACCTCTCCAGCCACTCTGTGCTGGGGGAGGTTTTATTGTAGATACATCCTATCTGAAAGATCTGTTTCTTTTGATGTAAGCTTCCTGGGCTTATGACCCTTTGGTCAGCAGGAGGTCTCAAACACACACACACACACACACACACACACACACACACACACACACACACACACACACATATACATTTACATACAGTGCCTTGTCTTTGTAACCAAAGGGGGTTGCAAGGGGAGGTGTTTTGTAAACTATTGTTTGAAGTTTGTCAATAAAAGGCAGCGAGAGGAGGCCACCAGTGTGGTCATTTCGACGTGCTGGTCACAGATGAGAGGCCTCCCTTGCGCAAGAAATCGATCGAACACTGTTGCCTTGTTTTTCTTTCATGGGAATAAGTCCTGGATACAGCGGGGTCTGAGTTTAGACCCAACATCTGCGCTGCTCTAGTCCGGCATCTCCTGGTGTAGGTGTCCTGAAGCGGGGGGAGAGCAATCCTGCAGCAGCGTTCTGCTGTACGGATCACTCTCTGGAGAGCTTTTTGGTCCTTCACACAGCTGTTCCCAAACCACGATGTCATGTTCTGTGTGAGGATGCTCTCCACAGCGCCTGTATAGAAAGTCCTGAGGATCTCTGGAGAGACCCTGAACTTCCTCAGTTGTCGTAGGTGATACAGGCGCTGCCTAGCCTTTTTGGTCTGGACCTGAATGTGGGCAGCCCATGTCAGGTCTGAGGAGATGTGGACACCAAGATATTTGAAGGACTGCACCCTCTCCACTGGAGCTCCATTGATGATAATGGGCTTGTAGTCTCTGTGCTGACCCCTTCTGAAGTCCACCACCAGCTCCTTGGTCTTGCTGACGTTCAGCTGGAGGTGGTTGTCCTGGCACCACGATGCCAGATTCTTCACTTCATCCATGTAGGCCGCCTCATCGTTGTTGGAGATGGCACCCAACACCACTGTGTCGTCAGCAAACTTCACAATGGTGTTGGAGCCATGGGTGGCCACACAGTCTGAAGTGTAGAGGGAGTAGAGCAGTGGCGAGAGGACACATCCCTGAGGTGCTCCTGTGTTGATGGTGATGCTGTTGGAGAAGCACCTGCCCACCCTCACCACCTGAGTTCTGCCAGTGAGGAAGTCCAATACCCATGCACACAGACGGCTGTTAAGTCCCAGATCCCTCAGCTTTGTGAACAGTCTGCAGGGCACTATTGTGTTAAACGCTGAACTGTAATCAACAAACAGCATTCGCACATAGTTACCCTGTTTCTTGTCCACGTGGCTGAGAGTGGTGTGTAGGACGTGGGCGATGGCATCCTCTGTGGATCTGTTGGATCTGTAGGCGAACTGCAGCGGATCTGTGGTGTCTGGGATGGAGGAGGAGATGATGTTCTTCAGCAGCCTCTCAAACACCTTCATTACTACTGAGGTCAGTGCAACTGGCCGGTAATCGTTCAGGGATGAGGGTTTGCTGTTCTTGGGCAAAGGGATGATGGTGGATCTTTTGAAGCATGTGTGGACCACAGACTTCGCCAGGGACTCGTTGAAGATGTAAGTGAACACACCTGCTAGCTGGTCAGCACAGCAGCGCAGCAGACGGCCGGTGATGCCGTCTGGCCCCGCCGCTTTCCTTGTGTTCACTCTCCTCAGTGCCGCTCGGACGTCATGCTCCGCGATGCTGGTCACCGGTCTCTCGCTGATGACGTCACTGTCCTCGGTAGTCAGGCGGTAGATAGCATTAGCCGCCTGGCTAACCTCGAAACGGGCGTAGAACCGATTAAGCTCGTTGGTGAATGCAGAGTCGGCGTTGATCGGCGCAGTGTCCCTGGCTTTGTAGTCCGTAATGGTGCGTAGTCCGTGCCACATACTCCGTGTGTCGCCCTGGTGGAAGCGGGACTCCACACGTTCCCGGTACCTGCGTTTGGCATCTCTCACCGCGCGCCGCACGCCGTATGAGGCCGCTTTGTAGGCGCTCATATCGCCAGTGGCGAGACCCGCGTTGTAGGAGGCGGTCCTGGCGTTTACTGCAGTGCGGATCGATCTGTCCATCCACGGTTTCTGGTTTGGGAATGTGGTGACTCTCGCAGTGGGGATAATCTCCTCCGCTAGCATATTGACGAAGCATACTGCTACTTCCGTAAACTCGTTGATGTCGACTGCGCATGCTCTGAACATGTCCCAGTCGACGTCGTTGAGTGCGTCCTGAGTGCGTTGAGTGGGTCTGAGCCCGCGCTGGAATGGTAGCGCTGTGCAGGGCGGCTGCTGTGTTCGCTTCGCATTACTCCTCCCCCCCACCCAATCCTGTGGCTTGTCATGTCTTTCAAAGTTGTGCTGTGGACATTATGTGCTTTTTGTGCAGAGGAGTTTCTTTGTTTCCTGTTCTCATGCTGTCCAACCATGGAAGCACAGCATGAGTAGAGGTCTCTTTTTTCCTCTTGTACTTTCCCATTGTAGTGTATATTTCAGTGTTTTTCTGTAACGCTACCGATCTGCGACTTGTATCCCCATGTGATGTCTGTGTTGTGTGTGTGTAAGGTCGGGGGGGGGGGGGGGGGGTGTCCCATTTCACTGCAGGGCAACCTGCATGTGGCGAATAAGGCTTTGATTGATTGATTGAACGGTCAAACAAAACTAAGTTTCAACCCATTAAGTTCATCCAGGGGGTGTTTCATAATCTTCTCATCTTCTTCAACAGAAAATTATTCCTATGAGTGACACCAGTCCAGAAACCATGCAACAGCAAATTATTTGATAATCTGCTGTTTCATTCAATTCAGTTCAGTTTTATTTCGATGGCATGAAATCACATCAACATTTGTGTCGAGGAGATCCTACAATAATAAGATGACCCCTTATTAGCAAGTATTTGGGCGACAGGGGGAGGGAAGAAATTCATTTCTAACAGGAAGAAACCTCCAGCTTAGTTGTGCTTCCGCTGTGGCGTTCAGGTTTATTTGTGTCAACTGTGTTCCCCAGGTGTTCTCATTTCCCTCATTACCCTCCACCCTTTATTTAGTGTCAGGTCGTCTGTTTATCTTGCCACATATCTGGATTTCTCATATCTTCCCGCTCCTGCTCAGGTTCATGTATTTGTCATAGTTTGCATGTTTAGCTCTAGCTTTTCCCAGTTTAGTTTAGCTGTTGGTCTTTTCCTTAGTTTGACATCCTTAGTTTGACATCTGGCCTGGCCCCCACCAAGGTGTGGGGCCACCTTATCATAAGGTGGGGCCAGGTTTCACAATGAACTCACCCGAAACTCTGGCTGATTGGGACCCACACCCAGTTTCACACCTTGGCTCAGGCGATTAGAGGATCATCAAGGGGTTCTTTTGTCCCTCTGTGGGGGGTCACTCCCACTAGGTTAATATCTGGGACTCCCCACCATTTGACCTTAGAACTGAAGAAGCTTCTTGGATGAGAGGTGAAACATCTTCAAGTAACTAAAAGAAGTCCAGACGCTTTTCTTTGTAAGCTCCTTTGACATATAGGCAATCCAGACTTCTTACTCTGTTTGGAACAAACCTTTTTATACTACAAATATTCACATGAGTTTCTGTTTCCAGTCTACAGATCCAGCCACACTTTCTGTCTTCACTTGTACATGAAGAAGGATGAGCAGAAACCAGGTGTGCTGATGGAGGACGGGTCAGGTGATTGGAAACAGTGGGAACACACTGAGGCCACCTACAGGGCAGATGGGGAACAGCAGGGCTCTGAAATCAAATGCAATCACTGAATGTTTCTTCCAAGCTCATTTCAACCTGTTGAAGTCATGACTGAAAGTGCAGACTGAGAGTGGATCACATGATGTCTAAGGTGAGTCATGTGACATGTTCAGTATTGTCACACATGTCTAGATTGTCCCTGATATCATAGCTGCTCAAACACTGATGATTATATTTGAAGAATTATTCCTGATGGCAGCAAAGTTTGAATGGAGCTCTCTGTCTGTGCTGATTTGTCGCCCTCTGGAGGTCAAAGCACAAACTGCATGATGTCACTGTAACCACCACAGTGACAGGAAGTGTTTTTAAATGATGAAACATGTCAGTGATGCTGATAGTGTGTTCATCACAGACGCTCAGGAATCAAAGTGAAAGCAGAGAAACTGGAATGAATCAGGTGATGTAGAAGATGGAGAAACAGGGTGGAGAGAGGATGCTGCTCCTTCTTTGAGATCAAACATGTCGTGTTGTTCACGTGCTGTCAGCGTGACGCACAGAAACCATGGAAACAAAGTGTGAGTGAAATCAGTCCAAAGTAACAGAGTGAAGAGCAGCAGATGAAGCACTTAGGACACAAAAAGGAAGGAAAGAAGGAGACAAGGTCCATCTGTGTCCTTTCAAACAAGCATCAACGTCCAGGACTGAAACATGAGTCCACATATTTATACACATATTTATTTAATGAGAATAAAACCAGAATATTTATAACACATCAGCAATAATCAGGCCTGGGATCCTCCTGGTTAGAAACAGGGTCCAGGACTGGGATCCTCAGGTGGATCCTGCAGGGTCTGGTTCAGGAAAAGAAGTCAGAGGTAAAGTCCACAAACAGCATTCTCACGTACGTGTTTCCTACTGTCCAGATGTGTGAGGGTTGTGTGAAGAGCTGTAATTATGGCGTCCTCTGTCCACCTGTTGGCCTTCTACAGACTGTAGCAGGTTGAAGTTGGTGGTGAAAACCTCTGCTAGTTGGTCTGCACATGCTTTAAGCTCTCCACCGGCTGCACCGTCAGCACCAGCTGCTTTCCTCGCATAGACTCGGCACAGTGTGGCTCTGACCTGATGCTGCTCCAGCTGGATGGGGGCGTCGTCCCTCTCTGTAACGGCAGGATAGGTGTTGGTGTCACTGTTTTGTTGGTCATGAAGAACTGCTTTATGGTGTCAGGTGAGGTGATGTGGGGGGAGTTTGTTTGTGTGCGATTGTCCTTGTAGCAGTGAGTGTCTTGATCCCCACCACATGTTTCTGGAGTTGTTTGTGTTAAAGTGTTCCTCGATGCGCTGTTTGAATCTGCGTTTGGATTCTTTGATGCCTTTAGATTAGACGCCTCTTTGTAGGTTTGTTGGTCTCCTGATCTGAAGGCGCTGCTCTCAGTAGAGCTTGCACCTCACTGTTGAGCCGTGGCTTCTGCTTTGGGAACACTTTAACAGTCTTTGTTGTTGCTAAACTCTCAGTGCAGATGTATGAGGGTACAGATGTGTGGCCCTCCAAGTCTCCATCTCATTTATTTCCCTTTCCTCGTACAACTGTTAGTTCATGCTGGTTTAAATGAGTCCTAAACTTCATTGTATGTGACATTAAACATCTTAAATGTAACTTTCTGTAGCAAAGAAAGCTGCAGGAGCCCAGGTTTCATCTTCACACACATCAGGAGCAGCTGCTCCATCACAAACACCACAGAAGAAGAACAACACTGGATCAGATTTAATGTAACCGGCTGTTTTTATCTGGATTTATCTGACAGGGACAGAGTTCATGTTCATGGACATCAGGATAAAAACAGAAGATGGAAACCTGCAGATTTGAGCTGCTCATGTGTCGTCCCTGGGCAGGTCACATGACTCCATCCAACATACAAAGACACACAGACACACAAGAAAAGCCAGAGAAACAAAGACAAATCCAAACAATCCATCATACTGAGTCAAAGTGATCACAGGTCTGCTTTGTTGGAGCCTTCAAATCTGTTCCTTTATTACTACCACTGAAGGCCACGCCCCTCTGGTCATGTGATCATGTGGTTTGTAGGAATGCTCCTCTTCCTCAGAGGATCCACCTGTGCTTCCTCTCCTCTCTCCTCCACCTGTTACAGTGAGGGAACGTCCTCCATGATGGAGGAGCTGCTGGAAAGTGCTGAGAGTTTCCTCCAGAGTGAGACCTCTGACACAGTTCAGAGGATCTACGGCAGCAGAGACCATGAGACTAAAAGTCTCAAACACACAACAACAACATCACACTGACTCCAGTCTGACATCACTGATCAATAATCAGACAGATCAAACTGATTGATAAGCTATCACAACCACAACAACTGTGAAAATAGTTGGATGGACGTTGCTGCTCAGTCACAGCTGCCTGGTCAATGTTTTTCATTAGCAATTTAGCAAAGTTGATGATGGTGATGAGTGTCTGTGTGAGTGAAAGAGACAGATTTTGTGTTATAACCAGAGATGGGCAGTAACGCGTTACTGTAATCCGATTACTTTTTTCAAGTAACGAGTAAAGTAAGGGATTACTATCGCAAAAACGGTAATTAGATTACCGTTACTTTCCCGTAGGAACGCTGCGTTACTGCGTTACTAAAACCGTGATTTTTTGCGAGAATGTCTCATGACGTAAGCGAGTGCGACGTTCGTGACAACAGCTGTGTGCAGATCAACAGTGGATCATATCTCGAGTGCAGAGAGAGTATGAGCGTGCAGCGTTTAAAGTGTGGAAGTACTGACCTTACTTTGAGTTTGATTCCATAAAAAGTGACAAAAACATTAGTGTCCGCTGTGCGTGGGAAGAAAACTTCTTTTTACAGCGAAAAAACCCCTAAACTTCCAAACAAGCACCGAGTAGCTACGACGTAATGGGAAACTCACAGAGAAACTCGCGGATTCTTCCACTGACCGCTGCACACCTGCACCAGGGTAAACCTCCGCCTACACCACTCCTGCTTTACAGGTGAAAATAGAGCAACAGGACCGCTGAGTCTTTGACTTTATTTATTTTCTGCTGTGTTTTACTTGCATCTATTTGAAAGACTGAGTGTAAACACAAAAAATATTTTATTTTATGTGCTGGAATGTGTAGAAAATAGGTTTAAATGTTAAACTAATTTATTCAAGTCAGAGAATGTTGCAGATAATTAAATTTTTGCTTGATGCATAAAGTTAAAAGATTAAAACTAATAAAACAAGTTAAAAAGAGACTTTTCCATTTGATTACATTTTGTATGATGGATTATGCAGAAAAAGTAGAATTGGGCTGAAAGTTTAGTTACTGATTACTTTTTAAAAGTAACTTGACCAACACTGGTTATAACCTTCATGTTATGGACGCACAGTGTGAGCACTCAGGTCGCATCAGAGCATCGGGCCGTATAGTGTGAGAACCTGCATCGTGACCTACAAACTTCTAACCTATGAACTTCTAACGAGATTCAGTCGTACAGTTTGAGACAGCTCAGACCTGCTCTGCACAATAACAATGTTTTATTTATGTAGTGATATTTGTTATATGCTGTTACATAAGTACAGGTATCTTTGTGAAATACAGGTATATTAATAAAGAAAAAGCAATAACTGAAAGGGGTTTTTTTATAAATGAGAATTTATATTTTTTAATAACTGGATAAAATATGAAAGTATACTTGATATTCCCTCGTGTCCACAACAACAACCACATGGTGTACATCTGAACATGTAGCATAAAGCAGTATCAGGGAAAAAAAGCAATCTACACAGCTGCCTGATGCTTCTTTACATGTTTCACTTATGCCAAGGGAAGGATCTCCCAATGTTTTTGATAGCTGATGTTGTTTGACCAAGTTTGTACCTCTGTGATTCTTCGGTTCCTCCATCCTCTCTCCTCATCTCCTCCAGTTTCTGGACCTTCTCCGTGTCTCCTTCCTCCTTCATCTTCTCAATCAGGAAGTCCAAGTGCACAACAGTGGATGCTGAATTAGCTTTCAGAGCGATTTCCTGCAGTCTGACAGCATGCTGGTAGGAGTCACTTAGCCACTTTTGCTTTTCTGCTGTCAGCACTTTCATTTCCTTTTCAAGATTTTCCAAAAGACTCAATATTTTCTCAATTTCCATTTTACTTCTGTGATTTGTCTGCTTCAGAGCTTCTCGGATCTGTCTGATTTCTGTCTGTTTCAGTTCAGCCAGCTCGATTCTGTCTTCCAGGTTTTGGATGCAGGCTTTCAGTCTTATTCGTTCATTTAACACTTCGGCTGTTTTCACCAGTTTCTGAGGATTCGATTTTCCCAACAAATCTGTCAAATGATCCATGTTTGTCTGTGTAAGTTCCCATGAATTTCTAAAAATTGTGTTTTCCTCCATTCGCTCTTCAAGCTGGCAGTTATTAAACAGGAAGTGAACAGGCTGACTGTCCTCATTTTTGGCACATTTAATGTTTGCAGCTTCAAGAGCTTGAAGAGGGTTTTCAGGTCTGCTTCCATCTGAGTGTGTGATCAGAGCTACAATGTTTTTCTCCACATCTTTTCCAAACAGAGACATCACTGAATCAAAGACGTACCTCAATGGCTCACTCAGTCGATTCACACTCGCCTTCATCACCAGACCCACTGCATGAACTTCATGGACTCCATCGTCTGATTGAAACAAGTCCAATAATCTGTAACTGATGGTGTCATCATGTTCGATCCCTCTGGTGTCTCCATATCCAGGAGTATTGATGATGGTCAGAGAGTAGGGAAGAGTTTCATCTTCAAAACCAAAGATCTCGTACACGATCACATCTGATGTCTGACTTCTTCTCTCCTCCTCTGCGATCATAAACCAGACTTCATCCTCCCACTTCACTCCCATGGTGTAGTTGAGCAGAGCGTTGATCAGAGTAGATTTTCCTGCTCCTGTTTCTCCCACCAGTAAGATGGTTCTGTTCGGCTTGTTTGGACGTTTTTCTCCAACAGTCATTCTTGTCAGAGTTCCAGTCTTCTGTTTCTTCGGTCTCAGCTGGTAGACAGCAGGAGGTCCTGACCTGATGAGAAAACTGTCTGAGACGATGTCTTCGTGTGGTGATGAGTTCAAACTGATCCTGCAGAGAAAAGAACAAAATGTCTTCAGTACACATGTAAACATTATGAACAGGTTCCTATTGTTTAACATTGAAAACTGAGCTGAGGCTTTTCTGCTCAGAATCTAAGGTCACATAAAATTAAACCTTTTTTTATTTTGTCCAAATAGATTCTTTTTTTTTGTCTGCTCTACCAAAGCATTAGTGGTCACACTGCTACTTTTTAATTATACTTTTATTTTCCCTCAACCTTTGATTGGGTTGGCATGACATCATCTGGGTGAGCCACAGCTGTTGCTGCCCTGGATTCATACAGTTTTAATTTCATTTTTAGTTTTTATTGTAAGTATTAGAATATTGGGGTGATTTTCTATGCAGATTTAAACATCTGGCATCAAAGTAGAGAAAGTGAAACTTTATATTTATTTATTTTATTTTTATTTACCGTATTTTCTATACTATAAGGAGCAGTTAAAATCCTTTAATTTCTCAAAAATCATCAGTGCGCCTTATGTATGAATTCTGGTTGTGTTTACTGACCTTGAACCAATTTTATGTGGTACATGGCCCTCAAAAATCTGTCAAAAAGTGTTTAAGTACGACTTTGGTAAGGTACAAAGCTGCACTGCTTGATGGATTGTTGGAGCGTTACGGATACCGTTGTCAGGAGCGTCGCGGAGTAATCTGGGTCCTAAACTCCGTCTCTTCAGGTCCGAAAGTCAAACAAACACTGCAGCATCACTGAGAGTTAAAACTGTCTAAATTCTTTCATCTTTAATAAAATGATCAGCGTTGCTGCTTTACCAGGTGTAACAAATAAGTTTAACATCCAGGCATCCATGAAAACAGAATTTATTAAAGCTAACTGAGTTAGAAGCTAGCAAGAAGTTAGCTCACTAGTTTCCACCTAAACATGATATACGATGTTCTCACTGAGAGATTTCTGAAAACATTAAAACATAAAGCTCTGCTATTGTGACAGGTTGAAAGACTACTGAAAGTAAAAGGGTTATACAGTTAATACTAATTCATCTTAGTTGATATAAGGATAAAAATAATGTAAATACAGTAAAGAAATTGTTGACAAGTTTTTTCATGTTACACCAATGGTTCTCATTTTATTCAAGAGAGATGCCATCTGCACATCACTGATCGGCTAGTAAGCCTTTTCTGGGATTGATTGGTAGTGTCTCCATTCTGACAAGGGGGCTTTCGTGCGCTTTCCTCATTGCAATAAACAACTGCATGAGTGAAGCAAGTCTAAATGATCAAAAATCTCGTGATTCTTTTCCCCTTGTTTTCAGGTAAAAGTGTTTAAAAGTTGATAAATTTACAATCTGTACATTGTTAATATATTTAATAGGTAGCCCTTCTATGTCTTGTAAGCTTTAGAAGCATTATATTACAGTTGTTTTGTGCACATAGATACAAAACAACCTCAGTTGTTTGAGCCCCAGTGTTATACTGTATAATGTCCAATAAGCTAACGGCAGGAGAGGTAGAGTATTACTTCCTGTTCCTGTTCCAACACACAGTAGCTTATCTGCAGAGCAGTTTAAATAAAAACTTTTAGATAAGTCTGTGAAGATTCTCAGTCATCCAGGTCATCATAGTCAAAGGAGTTTGCAAAGAAAAGCGTCTGGACTTCTTTAAGTTACTTGAAGACATTTCCTCTCTCATCTGAGAAGCTTCTTCAGTTCTAAGGGTCAATGGTGAAGAGTCCCAGATTTAGAGAGTCCCAGTCCCTCCTGCACTTTCCTGCTCATTGTGTCAGATGTTTAGTTACTCCTCAGCCTCCTTTAGCAGTAATGATATCTGTAACAAATGTAGCATATTTGCAGCTCTGGAGGCCAGGATTACAGATATGGAGACTCGGCTTCGCACCCTTCATTCACCCGTAGCTAGCCAGGCCACTGTAGCTGGTGCAGCCGAAGATAGCGTAGGCCCCGCTAGCTGTTCCCAAGCAGCTGGGGAAAGAGGGCGGCTGGGTGACCGGTGAGGAGGAAGCATAGTCCTAAACAGAAGCCCCAGGTACACCACCAACCCGTTCATGTGTCTAACCGTTTTTCCCCACTCGGCGACACACCCGCCGGGGGTCAAACTCTGGTAATTGGTGATTCTGTTCTCAGACATGTGACGCTAGAGACACCGGCAACCATAGTCAGTTGTCTTCCAGGGGCCAGAGCAGGTGACATTGAATGAAATTTAAAACTGCTGGCTAAGGGTAAACGTAAATCATAAATTTCACGTCGGCAGTAATGACACCCGGTTACGTCAATTGGAGGTCACTAAAATCAATATTGAATCGGTGTGTAACCCAATCAGACCCAATCAGGAGTGACATGTTTAGCCGCATGTTCTCCTTAAATTGCTGGCTGTCTGAGTGGTGTCCCAGAAACGATGTGGGCTTCTTGTTAGGAGAGACGGCATCCATCCCACTTTGGATGGAGCAGCTCTCATTTCTAGAAATATCGACAGACTTATTAACCCCCCGAAAAAAAAAATGACTATGGAGAGTTGGGACCAGGAAGCAGAGTTGCAGTCTTACGGTGCATTCACACCGAACGCAATAGACGCGACAAACGCGAATTGGTCATACTTCAAAATGTCCTGTTACCTTATTTAGAGCCCCGCATTTTCCGACCGAGAGAAACCATACCATTGTTTTCGGCCGTGATGCACTGAGATCGGTGAGCACATGTTGTATGTCTAGTTAGTTCACGTCTGTTTCACATTTTATCGTTGAGAAACTGAATTAATGTCAATTGTTTGATTAATAATTGTCGCATATGCACTGACTTTACTTGGTTTAATGCATAGTTTGTGTAAGAGAGATGTTTTATTTTGCAAATTTGAGTGTTTTAATTGCAAATTGATGTTGAATGTGATTTCAACAAAATCCTAAGTTGTGAATTATACCTAGAACAGCATACCGTACTTTCTGGACTATAAGCCGCTACTTTTTTCCTAGGTTTTGAGCCATGAGGCTTATACAAAGGTGCGGCTATTCTGTGGATTTTTCTTCCACCACTAGGGGGACTCTAACCAGAATTAGAATAAAAAACAAGATAGATGAAAAATCAATGCAAAGAAGAATACACTACTTTTTCTTTAGCAGACAGAACACGCACAACAAATTACCAACTGGTAATTATTTTCAATACCTCGCCCCTTCATCATGGAAACCACATGAAGAAGTTCGTATGATGCAAGTTTTAAATTGAAGGCCATCGATCTTGCTATCCAGGAGGGAAACCGCGCTGCTGCACGCAAGCTTAGCGTCCATGAGTCTATGGTGAGATGTTGGAGGCGACAGCGGGAAGAGCTCATGCAATGCCAAAAGTCGAGAAAAGCTTTCAGAGGACATAAAAGCAGGTGGCCTGAACTTGAAAATGTCCTGGAGGAATGGGTGAACACACAGAGAGCAGGTGGCCGAGGTGTATCCACTGTACAGATCCGACTGAAAGCCAAAACAATCGCCCGCGAAGTGAATATTAAAGATTTCAAAGGTGGGCCGTCATGGTGTTTCAGATTTATGAAACGTAAAAACCTGTCCATCGGACCACTCTCTGTCAGCAACTCCCCCCTGACTATCAGGAAAAAGTTGAAAACTTCCACAAATTCGTTGAAAAAAAGATACAAGAAAACTCCATCGGACCAGACGACATAATCAATATGGATGAAGTACCTTTAACATTTGATCTGCCTCTGACCAGGACCGTTAACAAGACAGGTGCATCATCCATGTTGTTGAAAACAACAGGCCATGAGAGGACGCACTTCACCTGCGTTCTGGCATCCACGGCATCCGGACAAAAACTTCCACCAATGGTGATTTTTAAGCGCATAACTAACTATGCCGAAAGAACAACTCCCGAAAAGCATAGTGGTCAAAGTTAACACCAAAGGGTGGATGATAGAAGGTCTAATGAAGGAATGGTTAACGGAGTGCTATGGGAAGCGCCCGGGAGGATTTTTTCACTGGAAAAAAGCACTGCTTGTTTTGGATAGCATGAGGGCCCACATCACAGATTCTGTGAAAGCAGCGATCAAGAAAACAAACTCCATTCCAGCTGTGATTCCTGGAGGTACAACAAAGTTTTTGCAGCCACTGGACATCAGTGTAAATCGGGCATTTAAAGCTGCACTACGGGTTGAGTGGGAGACTTGGATGACAAGCGGTGAAAAGTCATTCACAAAAACTGGCCGCATGCGAAAAGCATCCTTTTCTGATGTCTGTCAGTGGATCCTAACAGCGTGGAGTGCTGTGAAAGAACCACCAACACCAATGGGTTCCGAAAGGCTGGACTGCTGCGCGAACAGAGCGCCGCACCTTCAGAGCCAACTTCACCGGAGGATGACAGTGACACAGAGAGCGAGACTGATGGAGACAGATGTGATGAAGCGCTTCTGAGCCTGTTCAACTCCGACACTGAAGAAGACGACTTCATGGGTTTCAGCGAAGATGATTAAAGTGACTTGTGGTTTCAAATACAGGAAAAATGGAGGTAAATAAATAGCGGTTATTTTCTCTTGGTTCTGTTTTAATCAGCAAAGTTGCTGCCGTGTTAAAAGGCATTGTTCGGAAAGAATCTGTTCAGGTACATACATGTACATTTGCAGTACAAGATTGTTCTGTACATGCAGTAAATATCTATTTTTTAATCATAGATATCTGCGGCTTATAGCCGGGTGCGGCTTGTATATCTTTTTTTTTTTAAATTTTTAAAAATAGAGCTGATGCGGCTTATATACAGGTGCGCTCTATTGTCCAGAAAGTACGGTAATTAATATTTGAATTGCTCTTCTGACCCTGTCTGTTGACAGGTCAGGGTTTTTTTTGTATGCTGAATTGTTCCTGAGGTGGATTCCTCCGGTGAAATAGATGGCGAGCCTTCCACCTGGACAGACTGAGATTCGCTTCTTTTCCACTTGATGATCTGCTGCACCTTGCGGTGTGGTAGGACTGTATCACTCACACTTTCACACACAGCTGGTTATACATGAGACCACTGACTGACGTTCTCTCACCCCTATTTTCTTTCAAACCCTGGGAATTTTTTGGACTTTACCCCTTGGACATTTTTTATTTGGATTGTGTAGAACAATTCTCCACATGTGAAAAGAGCGTGAGATTTTCATTTGAATGTACATTGGATTTGTGTAATCTGTTTCTATAAGAGTTAAGGAGTCAGGTTACTAGGGTGCACCCAAGCATTGAAACCCATACATTGAAACCCGAACATTGAAACCCAACACTGAAAACCAAAAGTAACACTTGGCCAAGTCATTGCTTAGTAGTTTATGTGTTTTACTCTTCTTTTAATTTTTGTAAGTTTCCTTTCTACCATTGTAAAGTGTCTTTAACCTGTGCTTGTCAACCTTATGGTTTATTTCACTAAAGTCGTCTGGTTCTTTTGAGTTAAAATCTTGTCTCTGTGTCTCATTTAAACACACCCCTGTGCTCCTATAGTCGAGCCTATTGGCCCATTGATGTATTCTTTTCAACAATTCCCCTTACTGTGTTACATTATTATTTAGCTTTTCCTTCTACCACGTGCCATTAAGCAGTACAGAATGTGAAACATTTATGTTCATTTTGATTGCAATAAACGACTGCATGAGAGAAGCAAGTCAAAATCACTCCCTGTTTTCAGAGGTGTAACACTATCACTTCCAGCATAAATGAAGACAGAAAACTAAACACTTTCTGTGACATTTGTAGGGTTACTGAAGTTAGGCTAGCTGGTACATAAATTTATGTGCTACGTGATCGCTAGCGACACAGCTATGTTAGCATAACATTAGCACAGTGGCGCTGGAGGATGAACGCTAACTTTTTTCCACTCGATAAAGGTTAAGGGGATGCTGTAAACGGACCAAACGTCAGTCAGGAGAACAACTGAGATAATCCATCCACAATACGAGGTTAGTCATTAATACACTGCAACAACATGGGAATAGAGCAGCTGCCAGAGAATTCAACATTAATGGATCAATGGTACAGAAGTGGAGGAAGCGAGAAGAATGAGTTGAGGGAAGTTTGACTTATCGGACCATTTTGTTTTGCTTAATGCACCTTATAATCTGGTGTGCCTTATGGTCCAAAAAATATGGTATTTATATTTTACATTTATGTTTATGATTGGACTCTATATAAAATTATTTTAAATATCTTTCCATTAACAAAAATAGTCCATGACTGAACAATAACCTCCAGCTGTAACCCTCTGTCTTTAGTGAAGGGGCTGGGATAAGAGCAGCACCTCCAAGTCCGAGGCCATGGTTCCCAGCTGGAAAAGTTTGAAGTGCCCATCAAAGTTTGGGGATGAGATGCTGGACTAAAGATTTTTTGCACATCATTGTAGTTTTACCTCAGTATAAGACGTTTTGTGTAATTCTCCATCCTTTAAACCAGATGTCAATTTCTCTATATTGTATTTGTTTTCATGTTCTCACACAAAACACTGATTGATTTCAGTTTCTTTATGATAAAAGACACATTTCCATAGCTAACATTCAAATCCAGCCATGAGAATCAGTTTTTTTTTCCTCCTCTTCATCGATTACAGAAATGTAGTTTATTATGACTGTGTCACGCTGAGCAGAGAAACTGTTTGAACACTAAGAGTGAAATAAACCCAGGATAAACTATCACTGATGTGTTTCAGCAGTGATATTGATCTGTACACTTTTCTCTGATAATTAAACACCTAGTTTATACTTAGTAATTATAAACTCCAGTCACTGTTCTGTGAGTGCTGTCAGTTTGACATACCTCAGAGCTCCTCTAATTCCTTCATCCTCTCTCCTTCTCATCTCCTCCAGTTTCTGGACATTGTCTGTGTCTCCTCTCTCCTTCATCTTCTCAATCAGGAAGTCCAAGTGGACAATAGTGGACGCTGAATCAGCTTTCAGAGCGATCTGCTCCAGTCTGACTACATGCTGGTAGGACTCATCCAGGAACTGGGACTTCTCTGCTGTCAGCAGTTTCATTTCCTTTTCAAGAAAATCAACGTCCTTCTTTTTTGTTCGTGTTTTGTTCTTCTGACCTCTCCTTATCCTGGTCATATATCTCCACTTTTCTTTCACATGGTCTGATGCAGGACACTTGTTGGTACATGACGTGCAGAGACCACCTTGAAAGACCTCACAGTGATTTAAGGGCACCGTGCATCCAGGATAGTGACAATTCTCCTCACAGACTGTACAGCTGACAGCTGCTTTCAAACCCGGCCCACACGTCTCTGCTCTGATAGGTTCTTTATGTTTAAAAACAACACATGGAGTGACCACTTCATTCTTCTGCAGAGCTTCCCGAGTCTGTTTCATCTCTCTCTGTTTCACTTCAGTGAATCTGATTCTTTCTTGCAGGTTTTGGATGCAGGCTGTCAGTCTGATTCTTTCCTTTAACACTTCAGGAGTCACTTCTGGCTGCAGAGGTGTACTTTCTTTCAGGAAAGCTGTGAACCCTCTCACTCCTCTCTCTGAGCTTTCAAAGTTTAGTTTCAGGTATTTTTCTGCCTCGTCTTCAAGCTGGCAGTTATTAAACAGGAAGTACACAGACTGATTCTTCTTATTTTTGGCACATTTAATTTTTGCATCTTCAAGAGCTTTAAAAGCATTTTTAGGTTTTCTTCCATCTGAGTGTGTGATCAGCGCTATGATGTTTTGCTCCACATCTTTTCCAAACAGAGACATCACTGAATCAAAGACATACATCAGTCGATCACTCAGTCGATTCTCTGTTGCCTTCATCACCAGACCCACTGCATGAATTTCATGGACTCCATCCAGCAAGTTCAATAATCTGTGACTGAAGATGCCACCGTGTTCGATGTCTCCATATCCAGGAGTATTGATGATGGTCAGAGAGTAGGGCAGAGTTTCATCTTCAAACCCAAAGATCTCGTACACCATCACATCTGATGTCTGACTTCTTCTCTCCTCCTCTGCGATCATAAACCAGACTCTATCCTTCCACTTCACTCCCATGGTGTAGTTGAGCAGAGCGTTGATCAGTGTGGATTTTCCTGCTCCTGTTTCTCCCACAAGTAAGATGGTTCTGTCTGTCTTGTCTTGTCTTTTTTCTCCAACAGTCATTCTTGTTCCAAACTTCTGTTTCTTTGCTCTCAGCTGGTAGACAGCAGGAGGTCCTGAACTGATCAGATCACTTCTGGAGATGATGTCCTTGTATTTTGAGACGTTACTCGTCCTGCACCAAAGCAGAGTTTCAATCAGAGGGCAGAGTGAATGCAGAAGTCTTTATGAGTACTGCTGTCTGTGATTATCATGTTATCTGTACTGATGCAGCTGCTGTACAGCTCAGACTTTACTTTTACAAACACTATGATGTTTAAATGAGATAAAACCTGAAGACACAAACATGTATGGTGACAAAACTCAACATTTATGTGATCAAAATACAGAAATCAGATGAAGCCAGACGTCTTACTAAGTTTAATAATAATAATAATAATGTATATAATTCATGTGAGAAGGAATATAAATGAACAGGTATATCACAGGGAAGCTTCAATAATAAAATTGAATAAAATACGAAAACATGGTTGACCTTCAAATAAACAAACAGATAAAAAAAATAAATCAAAACTCCTCTGCGTCTGTTAGGAATCAATCAATAAATAATCAATTTAAGGTCACAGGAACTGAGTTAGAGATCAGTCATCTTCTACTCTCAAAAAGAAACTGATATTCAAATATGGATTTATCACCCGTAGATTGATTCTGTTCATCTGGACAGAAACGTTTCGTCACTCGTCCAAGTGACTTCTTCAGTCTCAGCTG